GGGGGTTTGCTGAGTCAGGACTGGGGAGTATTAGGGACGCCTGTATGCGGAGCAGGTGGGCGAGGAGGGTCGGAGCGAGGGAGTGGGAAAGATGGCGGCGGGGTCTGAGACTCTGTGCTCTGAGGGGACTTGAGTTATCCCCTGTGACTTGGAGGGAGGAGGGATAGGATCTGATTCACGTGCTCAGAGCCCCTCTGCCCATGTGTACAACCAGGTCACAGAGGCGAGGGACCCAGTGGAGGTGGCTATGCCTGTCCGGGTGGCTATATCTGGACCAGGATGGGGACAACGGAGAGAAGGGGTTTGATTCTGGAATCATTTTAAATAACGGAATTTCGTACATAGGAGGTGTCAGGATGACGGTAGTGTCCCACCCTGGGTCCCTGGCATTGCCCAGCACCCAAAAAGGAGAAAACACAGAAGACATTAGGACCCCAAAGAGACTGGCTCTTAACTGTTCCCAACACACACACATGCACACATGCACACACACGTGAAGTAATTATATCACTTGATAGAGGTGCCAGCACCGCAGTTATAATCATACTGCAATGCATAAATGAAACTAGTCAACTTGTGTACCTTAACCTTATGCAGGCTTATAGGTCAATTATATCTCCATAGAAACAAATTTAAGAGGGGGCCCTCCCTGGTGGCACAGTGGGCTAAAGCACAGCACTGCAAAGCTAGCCGCAGCCACCTCAACGTGAGTTTGATCCCCGGCCAGGGAGGTGGCCCACAGGGCATAGCAGACCTCTCCTGACCCGCTGCTCCCCTCAGCTGCTCCCCTGCCTATTCTGCTCCCCACTCTGGCTCTGGTGAATCCTCTCACCGTCCCTGCACCTCTGGCCTGTACCCCTGTTCTGTATGCATAGATAAATAAATCTTTTTGAAAAAATCAAAGAGGCAGAGGTCCCATGGACTAAGGTAGAGGATTGCTGGGTCTTTGGTGGTGGGCCTGGTATGAAAACATACATTTGTAGAGGTGTGAACCTAGACCCCTAAAACACATCCAGTCTTGCAACTCAATGTAACAGCAATACAAATGGTTTTTTTTTTTTTAAAGATTTATTTATTTATGCATACAGACTGGAGTACAGGCCAGAGGTGGAGGGCGGCGAGAGACTTCACCAGAGACAGAGTGGGGAGCAGAACAGGCAGATCCATGAAGCACACTGCTGAGGGGAGCAGCGGGCGGGTCAGGAGAGGTCTGCCACGCCCTGTGGTCTCCACCGGGGCAGGCGGGAATCGAACTCATGCGGAAGCGGCTTTAGCTTCTCAGTGCTGTGCTTTAACCCGCTGCGCCACCAGGGAGGGCCAATACAAGTGGTTTTTAAATAAATAAATACAAAAAGCAGGAGCTTGGTTTAGGACAGCATGCACTGGCAACACCTGTCAGACACTCCCCGACCCTGTCTGGGTCCTGGACGTCAGCAGTCAGGTCTGGGCCAGCGAGTGAGCGGTGGCCAGCATGGAGGTCAGCCTGGAGGTGGCCGCTCATGCTCTGGGCCTGGACAGAACGGCCCAGAAGAAGCATGCCCTGCTCCAGGGCGACAGGCTGGTGGTATGCAGACCCTACCGAAAGTCCCCTGGCTGCCGGGGGCCCCTCTAGCTCTGGCCCTGCCCGGGGCTCCCCTGCCCGCTCCCCTGACCTCTCGCCTCTCTCCCAGGGCCAGTGCTCCCAGATGTGCCACAACGTCTTCATCGTGGAGTCTGTGTGCGTGGGCTGGTTCTCCCTGGAGTTCCTGCTGCGCTTCATCCAGGCGCCCAGCAAGTTCGCCTTCCTCCGCAGCCCGCTCACGCTGATCGACCTGGTGGCCATCCTGCCCTACTACATCACCCTGCTGGTGGACGGCGCCGCCGCGGGCCGCCGCAAGCCGAGCGCGGGCAACAGCTACCTGGACAAGGTGGGGCTGGTGCTGCGGGTGCTGCGCGCGCTGCGCATCCTGTACGTCATGCGCCTGGCGCGCCACTCGCTGGGGCTGCAGACGCTGGGGCTCACGGCCCGCCGCTGCACCCGCGAGTTCGGCCTGCTGCTGCTCTTTCTCTGCGTGGCCATCGCCCTCTTCGCCCCCCTCCTTTACGTCATCGAGAACGAGATGGCCGACAGCCCCGAGTTCACCAGCATCCCCGCGTGCTACTGGTGGGCCGTGATCACCATGACCACGGTGGGCTACGGGGACATGGTCCCCAGGAGCACGCCCGGCCAGGTGGTGGCGCTCAGCAGCATCCTCAGCGGCATCCTGCTCATGGCCTTCCCGGTGACCTCCATCTTCCACACCTTCTCCCGCTCCTACCTGGAGCTCAAGCAGGAGCAGGAGCGCGTGATGTTCCGCAGGGCACAGTTCCTCATCAAGACCAAGTCGCAGCTGAGCGGCATGTCCCAGGACAGCGACCTCCTGTTCGGCAGCGCCTCCTCCGACGCCAGGGACCACAGCTGAGGGCGGAC